ACTTTGTGCGGCTGCTGCAGCCTTTCAATAAGACTCACGTTTATGCTTGTGGTACCGGCGCTTTCCATCCACAGTGCACTTACCTGCACCTCGGACACAACACAGAGGTACCAGTTCATTCAGTCATTCATTTAGTTCAAATAGATATGAAGTCACAAAGCCAAAGTGGAGCAGAGGGCAAGACTTTAAAAATCTGATATTTCTGCCGGTGGGTTTTATATGTGAAAGAGTAAATCTGCTCTGTCGCTTAACAAAGTACAAAGTTTTTATTTAACCCGCTGATTATTTCCAAACATAGAAACTGTGAAGTCCAATTCAGACGTTTTCAGTTCCACAGTTAGATGTTCGGCTCTGCCAGATCCAGGAAAGCCAGAGGATCCAGTTCTCTGCTTGCAAAACAAAGCTAGCACTGCCATGTTGTTAATGTGCTGACTGGAAACATACTGGTGTCACTGCTATGATACACCTGGCGGAGCAACAGCCAGTCAGGGTCTCACTCCTACCTCGTCACTAAGGACACTTTTAAACTGTGTGGATCATTTTTTTAGCTTGCATGTTGTAAATGAGCTTATTTTACCCCAAACCACGAGGTAACCATAACCAGTGTTTTTGTGGTGTCTGAACTAAAGTGACAGAAAGAAGGAAGAGAAAACCAAAACATGAACCTCAGTGTTTTGGCTCATGCTACAGCCCTCTGAGGCTGGAACAAGTGGTTCCTATTAAACTGAAGAAATACTTAGTGCATTGTACTGTAGTGACTTGTTGACAGTCTGCATAGTCACAGAAAATTGGCAGACATGTGCCTCATGTACTCCAGTCCCCCCAAGTGGACCCTCGTATACTTGTGGTCCGCTATCTTCAGCCAACGTTACCTGACACAATGTGATGGCAGTGTGAGGAAATGAGGGACAAATTAGTTATAAAACATAACAAATGGAAACAGAAGAACTACAAAGTGACAAAAACAACAAAGAAGAGACGAGAGAAATCCTGAAGGCAACACTAAATAATCCACAGTGGGTTTTCACAGAGAAAACCATGTGGGGCCACAGAAATGTTGCACTTTTGGGCCCTCTGTGTGTTACACCACTGGGCTCCTATGGAGGTTTTCACCGGGCAGTCCACAGTGGCCATGCCCATAGAAAAGTCATGTAGGTGTCCCAAAGGGTAAAAGTGCTGCACACCCATTTGGGATAAATGTGGGTTTTCCCTTCCCCCATAAACCCACAGTTCACCCACACGCACCCACAGTGGGCCCAGATGTGCATGTTTGTAATAAGGAAGGTTACTGCTGAGAAGATGAAACCACAGAACATGTTTTAAACCTCAGTAACATGGAAGGGGGGTTGAGTGGGCCCCCAGTAGTTCGGCCCACATGGTCCCAACGTGTGGTCCAATGGTCCCAACTGTAGGACCCTTCCTGCATGAGTGGGCTGCCCCGCATGGACCCCATTGGACTTTAGGGGGCCCATAGCTTTATGTTCAGCAGCCACCTCAACCTCAAAAAACAGGTTTAAAGATAAATTTGGTCTAAAATGTGGATTTTTTCCTACACAGTCTGTGTTTGCAGCAAAAGGCCTGAACCAGAGCAGAACTGTTGACTGACAGGTTTCTGTTTGGAAATATATAACGCCAGTGAAACAACCTCAGAGAATATTCATAGCTATCCAACAGAAATGGTAGATTATGACAAATACATGCAAGATAACAACAGAGACACAAACAGGCCATAAAGATTTGTAGCAAAGCTAGAAACATCGTGGTTTGGGTTCGTGGTCCCGTTTTTCTGTCGCTCCCTTTAGGAAGCCTGCTGAAGGGCTGTTTGCTCGCCTGTGTTGAAGGACTCATTGTTTCCTAATCCATCCACCATATTCAGACTTCTAAAACACTAATATTAATCTTCATCATCATGGCAGTCCTTTAAAACCAGTCAGCCTCTCTAAAGAGCTTCTGTTCTGTAATGAAGTGAAGTGAAGGCAGCTTCATCTTTGCCCTTCTGTTTATCCATCATCCTGTGTTTGTGTGGTCTGCTCTGTCCTCTCTCCTGCAGGAGCCGTTGTTCACGCTGTCTCACGCAGTCGAGTCAGGCAGAGGAAAATGTCCCTTCAGTCCCAAAGAGCCTTTCGCTGCTAGACTGACCGGTAGGTCCCGTCCACCCACGCACACTCGAAGCCTGAAAGAGTGGCCATATCGAATCATCATCCGTCATTCTCTAAAAGCCGCGTTCACATTCTGGTGACAGCAGCGCTCTGCGGCGTACAATCCCACCACTGTGTGACTCCTCG